GGGGGGAAGAGAGGGAGAGAGAACGAGAGAGAGAGGGGGGGAGGGGGTTACGGTAACAGAGAAGGGGGTGATTAATCTTCGTTCGCACCCCGTGCGGCTCTGCAGCATCCCCGTGCCTTCCGGCGCAACCCGCTCCGCTGGCCGGATCCGGATCGCGTGCCGCCGCCCTTTGCCGCCCCGGGACCCGGTACGGTAATGGCCCGGCTCATTTCGCGAGGATAGCCCGTCCTCCCACCCTGCCTCGTCCCGCCCCGCCCCGCCCCGCCCCGCCCCGCTGCGGTCTGACTGTCACGAGGCGGACAAGTGCATGATGATCAAGCTCCGCCGGGAGATGATGGCCGAATGCTAACTAGGTTATGTCGTGATCCCGCCGGACGGATGGATCGGTCACAAACGACGAGGACGTCGCCCCGCCCCGCCCCCGCCTGGCTGGGGCTGCGGTCGCATATCTCCCGTCATACTTACTGCCTGCCTGTTGAGGACGGCCATGAGCGCCTGCTGCAGCCGGGAGGAGTCGGCCTGCTGCTGCTGCTGCTGCTGCGGCTGCTGATGCGGCTGCGGCCTGCTGGGCGACAGGACGGTAGGGTCATAACATTGTTTTCAAACAAATTTTGGACAAAACAAAAATAGTCTTGATATTCACGAAAAAGAATCAACTAAAGTAGCTGATGCACTAGCTAAGTTGGTCAGCTCAAAATGTTAGCTCGCTTAGCTAATTCTTGGCCTAAAGTGCTAAAATATGAGCCATAACAACTGTCCAGAAAAAATGTCTGAACTAGCTGTGGAGCTAATAATTAGCTAGGGGAGCTAATAATTAGCTAGGGGAGCTAATAATTAGCTAGGGGAGCTAATAATTAGCTAGGGGAGCTAATTTTCTGATCTAACGCCCAATGCATTAGCTATTTTTGCTTTAAAAAAATGTGTTCTTGTGGTGTTGGCTTCGTTTACTCACCTCTGGTGTCGGATCGGCTGCGGCTGCGGCCTGTCCAGGCGGTCGAGGCTGGGCCCGCCGCCGTGACCCCCGGGCCAGGCTAGCCCGGGCGGCAGCCCCCCGGGTGGCAGCGGCGGCCCGCGCTCCTGACACTTGGCGCTCGCCGCCCGCATCTCCTGGCGCACCTCACGCACCACCTCCGGCCCGAAGCAGCTCTCGTACACCTGCGGGAAAACGTTCGGTCGGTTAAACGTGTAACTGGGACAGAATCAAGAGCAGAATGCTTATTCACGAGGACGATTCGACTTATAGATCGCCCGGAACGTCCGTTTTCCTCAGATTCATGCGGCAAATTACGGGAGCTCGGCGCCTGCGAGACTCAGCGTAGGCCACCCCGCACTACACGCGTGCACTGCGAGCACGATGTTGCCTACCTAACAGGCGCCATGAGCGCCCGTAGCTCCAGAGAGTTAGAACGTTAGAACTTGGCAGGTTCGTAACGGCGAATGACGGACGTGCTTTATGGACGATTTCTTAGTCAGCGTCAATAATCATGTAGCGAAGACTGCAAGAATGCAATTTGCCAGAGAGTGATTTTTCTGGGCGACCGTCTCTACATTTTCCCGGACCCATTCCCCCCGACAGCTTCTGGTACTGGCTACTCGACGATGGGACCCCATGCACTCCTCACACACCTCCGCTGCCACATCACTCATCTTCTTCCCTGTGGTCTTTCTTTCATCGACTTCCCTCCGTGCTTTTCATCTTCTCCTTTCTCATATTCTTTTCCTCGACAAAAATTGACGTGTCATGTCTTTGGGTGCCGTGGCGCTGCGCCGCCTATCACGCACGCACGCTCCCGCACGCGCGCCGTCCAGGCCGAGGAGGCCGAGCAAGGCGAGTGTCCGCGGGGGATAGGGTTCGTGCCTGTGGCGGGACCCGCCGAAACAGCGCAGATCTCGGGTGAACCAGAAAAAAAGGACATCAAAATACGGTGCGACGCCGCGACGTTCTGAAAGAAATTAAAAAGTGTCACGCACGGCTCGGGAGAAGAGGGAAAAAAGAGTTGAAATTTATGACGTGATGTGACGTTTGTCATGTACTTGTCAGCGCACTTTCTGCCATGTGGCGCCAACGTTTGAGAAGAGGAGAGAGAAGAAAAAAATCCGAGGAATCACGCAAACGGGACGGATCCTGCTGCTGTTGGATCCGACAAAACTATCGACGGTGGTGTGCTGCTGTGCGTCTGCCTGGGAGAGTCTGGTCACGATTGAAACGCCGCGCGCCACATCACGCCTCTATCGCACCTTATTCGTCGCCGTCATAGGCCACAACGCCGCCGGCGCCCGGAGGAGGCCAGTGTTCGTCCGGCGGGCGTCACGTGACCGTCCATAGAGAATGTGTGGACGCGAGACCAAAAAGGGGGAGGGGGGGGGTACTTTTTATTTCCTACCACGCAGTATATGGATGATTGGTACGATCGTGATGCAATTATCACGCCATCACATTATTCTACAGGACATCCAGCCCAGCGTGTATTATGTACATCAATGTGTCTAGGGTTCTTCGCGGTGTACGCAAATTTTTTGTAACTTTTTCAACGATTTAAATCTAATTAAAGGTGTTTGCTCTCTCTTTCAAAATGTGTGTGTGCGCGCACGAGCGCGAGTGTATGTGTGTGTGTAAATGTGTGTGTGTGTGTGTGTGTGTGTGTGTGTCGGCTGCAGCGCGTGTCGTGGCAGAGCGTGGCGGGCGGGACTATCTCCTCAATCAGAGACAAGCAGACGCCGCCGTGGCCACCATTAGCATTTCTTTGCGTCCCTGCCCGGTCCCTGCGAGCGAGGCGTGAGGTGAGGAGGGAGAGGTCCTCCTGTCGTCCGCTTCCCGGAATGCACACCTTAAAACGAACCCATCTGGCGTGTACCTTTACTTCCTTTACGGTCGCGGTCTCTTTATCTGAAGGCTAACAAATTTTAGTTTCGTTTTCTGCACGATGCAGCATCTAATTTTCAGTTTCTGTACGTCCAAATTTACATGATCCTGAGAAATAAATTAGCAGGGTGAAAAGTCTTCGACAGGGCGACAGGGCACATGCTTTTAAAAAA